AATAAAGTTCTTTTGATGCAGCCTTTATAAATCTTTTCACTGAAATTGTGGCTTACTAACAGACCCACCTTCATTAAGACCTCTGTGTTTTCTTGGTGTGGCTTTTCACCCGTTTCCTACCCTACATTCTAGCCCTAGTAGTCATTAACGGCTTCTGAATGAAATTTTGTCTTTGGATTGCTGAGCTTGCCTATTTGCTGCTTCCTGTCTAAAATGGTGGACTGAGAATAGCATGGATCTTGCAGCTGCTTCTGAGATTGCAGGCTGACTTCTAGATTTCTTACAGTTATTACATTTTAATAGTATATGATTTCTATTTTGATTCTTTTATAAACAAAAACATAAAAAGAAAATGTGCACTTTTTTTTCAAACAGAGTTGTGTAATGGAATTTTTGGAAAGGCCTATACATATCTTACTTCCAGATTTTTTACACTTATTACATTTCAGTATTATAAGATTTTGATTTATTTTTGGTTCTTTTACAGTCAAAAACGCAAAAACAAAAAAAAAGCACATTTTTTTCAGAGTTGTGTTAACAGACCTTTTGGAGAGACATGTGGATGGCTCTTTATTTTTCTCTAAAATTATACGCCTAAGAGGAGAGTTTTTTTAACATCACTAAAGAGATTTTTTTTAAATCGTGAAGGACAGTTCTTTTTAAACGTAGTAGTGTTTATGGAGCTTTTGGAGAGGCCTACATGTGTATGGCTCTGGAGTGAGATCTTTTAATCAGAAGATTGAAGGCTGTCTGCTGGACCTCTTGAAGAGTCATTTCTTAATTTGATTGTTCAGCTAAGTGATTGATTTTATTTAAGATTTATATGTTTTTCTTATTCCTTATTTTTTGCATGCTTAATATTAATTCTTTAGGTAAGGAAAGGTGGTTTATTTCATATATAAGGTGCTATTGTAAGCTGCTACTTTTTATGCTTAATGTCAATGAGGGCATACAAGAGACACAGCGTTAGATGGTTAGTAGATTTAGCGAAGTGATCGCACAGCAGGATCAGTCAGATGGATGGATGACTGTCAAGAAATTTCAGAAGTTCAGAAGTCTCCCATGGCTATTTCTCTCTCAAACAGATACTCAGCTTTGGATATTGTTGAAAAGGATAGTCTCTTAGAAGAAAGTAGAAGACGCAGCCAGATCCTGGGCACTAAGAATCAATCTTATGTTAGGCAGGGTTTGACAAAATTTAAAAGAATAATTGTTATAGGTGACTTTCCTGTAAAGGGCACAGACAGGAGATTCTGCAGCAATGAACATTAATCTATGATATAATGTTGCTTTCTTGGTGCCAGGATTAAGGATGTTTCAAATGTTTGAAGCATGTTGTTAAAAGGGAAAGTGAGAAACCAGAAGTTATTGTACACATTGGTAGGAATGACAAGGTTAGGGAAAAGATTAGGGTGAATAAGGGTTTAGATAGAAGATTACAAAACAGAACCTCAAAAGTAGTAATCTCTGGTTTACTCCCGCTGCTAGACTCAAATGAGGGAAAGAATAAAATGATGAAGGAGATAAATCAACGGCTGAAGAAGTGATGTGATGTTCAGGGATTCAGGTTCTCGGATCATTGGGATCTCTCCTAAGGCAAAAAAGACCTGTTCAAAAAGGATGGGTTTCACCTGCATTGGAAAGGGACTGATATCTTACCAGGAAGATTTGCTAATTCTATTAAGAGAGACTGTAAGCTATTGGGGGAGGGTTGGGGGATGGGGGTGAGGCATCCTAAATAGCAGGGTAAATAGAAAGATAGATGAAGATGGTTTTGAATCTGAAAAGAACAAGTTAATTAGAAAAGACAGACAAAAGCAAGTCAGAGAATGAAGTAACTCTGAAGAATTATTTCAATGGAAGCGGTCCTACAGGTAAGGCTAATGAACTTGGGGCATGCTTTCAACATGGGAGTGGGACACCATAGCTATTATAGAAACTTGGCTGAAGGATGGACAGGACTGGCAGCTCAATGTTCTAGGTTTCAGATGCTACAGGAAGGGAAGGAGAGGCAAAAGAGGAGGGGGAGTGGCATTTTTGATTAAGCAAAACATTACTGCTGTAACTAGAAAAGATATTTCTGAAATATCATCCAGTGAAAATATATGGATTGAAATTAGAAATAAAAAAGGAACAATCACCTTGATGGGATTGTAATATAGACCTCCAGCAATCAGAGGGAAATTAAGGAACAAATATGTAGAGAGATTTCAGATGTATCTAAGAATAATAAAGTTATAATAATAATAAGAGATTTTAATTTTTCAAATATTGATTGGGACTACCATTGTATTAAAGGTTTGGATGGTTTAGAATGTTAAATATGTTCAAGAAAATTTTCTTTATCAATTCGATGGAGCAAAACTTGACCTTCTCTTGGATAATAAGACAGGCAAGTGACTGAAATGATAGTATGGGAACACTTTGCGTCCAGTGATCATAATTCTATTTGTTTTAAAATAGTTATGGAAAAGGACAAGCCTTCCATAAAAATTAAAGATTTAATTGGAGAAAGGCCAATTTTAATGGTATGAAACAAGAATTTTCAAAAGTTTACTGGAGTAGACTGTTCGCAAGTAAGGGGCTATCTGATAATTGTGAGGCATTCAAACATGTGATAACGAGAGGTCAGAGCCATTATGTTCGTGTTAGAGTGAAAGGTAAAACTGATGGGATTAGGGAACAATGGATGAATAAAGATATTGAGGTTCTAGTCAAGAATAAACAAGTATCATACATTAGATATAGAAACTGGGTTCAAATGAATCTCTTGAACAGTATAAAGCGTGTAGGGACATTCTTAAGAGGGATATCAGGAAGGCAAAGAGAGGATATGAGATAGCTTTGGCAAATAAAGTTAAGGATAATCCAAAGAGATTCTACAAGTACATTAAGAGCAAAAGAGCAACTAGAGAGAGAGTAAGGCCCTTTAAAGATCAACATGGTCATCTTTGTGTTGAACCTCAGGAGACGTGAGAGATATTAAATAAATATTTTGCATCTGTTTTTACTGTGAAGAAAAATGGAGGTTAGAGAACTCAGGAAAATAAATATTGATATTTTGAAAACAGTTCACATTACAGAATAGGAAGTGCTGGATGTCTTAGAAAATATAAAGGTGGATAAATCACCGGGACCTGATCTAGTGTATCCCAGGATGTTATGGGGCCCCTTGCATAAATATTTGTATCATTTATTACTGTGGGTGAGGTGCCAGATGACTGAAAGTGGCTAATTTTGTGTCTTTGTTTAAGAAGGGATGCAAGGAGAAGCCTGGGAACTATAGTCCTGTGAGTCTGACTTTGGTGGTGGGTAAGTTGTTGGAGGTGATTCTGAAAGATAGGATTTATATGCATTTCAAGTAAGTAATGATTAGGGATAGTAAGCATGGTTTTATGAGGGAAATTGCATCTCACAAACTAAATCGAGTTTTTCAGGAGTGACGGTGTGTGATAATGTGACAATGGAGAGTTGTTTTTTGGACTGGAGGCCTGTGGCCAGCAGTATTCTGCTGGATTTGGTGCTGGGTCCCCTTTTGTTTGCCATTTATATAAATGATTTAGATGAGAATATAGAAGGCATGGTTAGTAAGTTTACGGATGACACTGGAAATGGTGGTGTAGTGGGCAATGAAGAAGGTTATCTAAGATTGACAAAGCGATCTTGATCAATTGAGTCAATGGGCCGAACAGTGGCAGATAGAGTTTAATTTGGATAAATGTGAGGTTTTACATTTTGGTAAAACAAACAAGGGCAGGACTTACACAGTTAAAAGTAGGGCCTTCGGTAGTGTTGTGAAACAGAGAGGCCTAGGGGTTCAGCTACATTATCCTTTGAAGTTTGCATCACATATAGTGGTTAAGAAGGCATTTAGTATACTAGCCTTCATTGCTCAGGCCTTTGAGTGTAGGAGTTACATTGAGTTTGTACAGTACATGGCTGATGCCTCTTCTGGAGTACTGTATCCAGTTCTTGTCACCCTGTTATAGGAAGGATATTATTAAACTGGAGAGGGTTCAGGAGAGAGATTTACTTTCAAAGTGTGAATGCTGTTAAAGTGGCAAAAACTCACTTGAATTTTTAAAATTTTCTTCTGGGTCTTCTGGATTTTTTTTTTCTTTGCGACACCACTGCAGCCATGTGGAATTTTCCAAGGTAACCACTTATGGTAACTGGTGAATTTTGACACCAACTAGTATATAGTACCAGTTAAGGGTTGTTTGTAGTAGTTCACTGCCAATAATCCTGTCTGGGGTCTATGTAATGATTAGTGGTAGAAGATAACAAACAAACTAGAACACAAATTGTTGGAGAAACATAGCAGATCTGGGAACATCTATGAAGAGAGAACAAGTACTGTGACACACCTTCAGAACAATTCCGAAAAAAACTCGAAAAATCCGAAATAGAAACCTTTCAGTGGTGCGTAAAAGCACCTTTAAATTTAAAAGAAAAACTCTTCGGAAACATTAACTTATACAACAACGTGTTTTGGAAATAACTATCCAATTGGTTCCACTCCCTTATTCTTTATTCAAAGCCTTTTAAATTTGTCCTCGGTATTTATTCTATTCCCATTTTAGAGATGGGTAACCGATCTTTTCCATCATCTTTTCAGGTAATACATTCATTCCAGACCACAAGTTATCCAATATATCGTTTCTCCACTGAAGGGTATCCAATTCCAGAATGTTACATCAGTAAACAGGTCAAAAGTAAAAGTGAGATTTATTCACAAATATAGAGCGTATAATCATAATGCTTTTGGCGCGGTGGGGCCACTCAAAAACAGGACACTAAACCCTCAAAGTTCGTCCAAACAGAACCTTCAAAATCGAAGGTTTTATGAAGCTGGAATAACAAACTCGCCACTGCGTGTGTGTAAAAGAAAAGGATTGATTCGCTCACTTCCTTAAATCCCTGCAAGAGACTGACCCTTTGGTACATCGAACTGAGAGGACTCGGTGTCGTTCTCTCTCTTAATTTGTCGTGCACGCATACGCGCGCCCAGGCTTTCGACGACCATTAGAGGCGGTTGGTTGGGCGAGGGTCGCGCGATAATCAAATCGAACGGACAACAACGGCTGGAGGAACTGTCAAAGTGGCGCGAACGGAAGCAAAGCGCGCGGGACGGAGTTTATTCAGTGGGGGCCGTTAGCTCGCGCCTCGGCCGATCTAGCTGATGATGTTCGATGGAATGAATGTAATACGCGAATCTTCCGCCGATCGGCCGAGATCAGTTTTTAGCAGTGATCCTGGGCCTCGGGGGCAAAACCCGCAGAAAAGAGGTATGATTCATAATAGGGAACGGGTTTCGCTGCGCGGTTTTATAAAACAAATTGTTGACATCCTGCGTGTGTATCCAGGGCTCTTTTCTCCCCTTTAACCACACCCTATATCCATCTGAGATTGGGTTCAGTACCGCACTCCTGTTATTGAATTGTATTTGGACCCGCCTCCCCTTTACGTTAGACACGATAACTACTGATTCCCCGAACCCTACCCCATGGACGCCGATTAATTGCAAAGTCTTTCTCATCAGCTTAGTTAAGATAACTATTAGGGCTTGAATCTGGGATCTTCTGCCCTTTACAGTTCCGCCCCATCGGGGAGCTGGGACAATTTATTTCTGTACTTTACCAAAGATCTTGTACATTTTAAGAAAAATATTTTTTCTATTAATGTAAGCACGCATGTACTTGGAGTTTTATTTCAAATTTTTGTATTTTGATTTATCTTTACTGTTTACATTTGTCACATCTATTATTACTTATTTCTTTTATTTTAAGTAATAATTCCTTAACTTTGCATGTACTGTATACAGTTGGTAACAACTTTGCAATTATTTATTTTCACTTTTAATATTTTTGTAGTGAAGGTAAAACCACGTTTAATCGTACAGTAATTACATGAATCATGATATTCTGTACCAAACCTTTGTCAAAGTGAGCTATTATAAATAGATAATATTGCAACAATTCCAAAAATACTGCCTGAAATGACAGAATAGATAGCACAATTTCATATTCAATATTATAATTAAACTACCTGTGATGATGTTTTACTGATGTGAGATAACATATCCTCTGTAGTCTTCTGCACCTGCCGTATGATCTCATTTCCAAATTAACTTGTACAGTAAGTAACTTGATAACTGAAATTGCAGTTTCTAGAAGTTTGCCTTTCACTGAATGCTCCCATTCTAGATTTGTATGAGTTGCTGTGCAGAAAGCTGACCGTGGTAACTACTGATGGTTACATAAAAATCTGCTTCTTGAAACCCTTGTCTTTTCAGTCTTCTCCATGCAGCTGCTCTTTATATTTGAAAGCCCGCTGTCAACTTTTACTTTAGCATGAGGCAGTACTGACAAATTCCCATTCTTGAAACAGCTGCCAACTTTGATTACTTTCTCCAGCAAATTACTGGAGCTAAACCGAAAGGCATCTCTGATAATGGAAGTAGCTTTAGGAACTGAATCTTGGTTTGATTCAAACTTAGGCCTGCTTTTTTGGCCACTTCCTGCTTTTCATTCACATCCTTCCCCTTGGTAGCTGTCATTTTAAATGCCGAAGTGTCAGATGTTGTGAAGCCTTCCAACAGCTCTGAAAGGTAACTTGTACAACAGGAAAAGCGAATAAGGAACAAGCCAAAAGGCTATTTTTGCTTTTGAGAATACGTAGGGGCTACTTGAATTTCCAGCGTCTAACACTTACAGTCAATGACTTCAACCAACTCTGTTCCTGTGGAAGTGGGTGTCAAATAGGTGTTTTTTTTACGCTCGACGCTGCCTCACTCTATTGTGGTGAAGTTGATGTTCCTCTTGCTCAACGTCCTCTTCTTTCTCATCAGCAGAATGTTGCTGCTCTCACAGCTCCTTAATTACCCATCCCCATTTTGCTTGGGTCAGTTGTCCAGAGTACAACATGCAAGGATTATGTGGTGCAATCTATTATCAGAGTATTGCAAGAAATCCCCAAATGTTTTCATGCATAGGAATTTCATCTGAGGAAGCCTGATGTCTCCCAAAGGAAGAATGGGCTGCATTGTATTTAGTTTCAGTCTGAGTCAGAGGTTATGAAATGGAGCCATCAGCCATGATGGGAAAGGGTGGCTGTTGACTCTTAATAAAGCATCTGGCCTTTGGAATGAAGCAGGAACCTGAGAATTGTCAAGGATATAGGCATCATGGCAGTTTCCAGGGTACCAGCCGCAGACTTCCAAAATGTTTTTGCAGTGATCACGGGTGAGTTTGACATTGACTGGATGGAACTCATTCTTATTAATGAAGTTTTAAGTCCATCAAAGCATAATATAACCTGAACACCCATATATATCTACAAAATACTTATTTTTAAAAATGTATTTGTAATAAATGACTATCAAATATCAGGATGCAAAATAGATTTCAGTGTTTGGGCCAGTAAAAGGAGCTGGTTTTCTCTTAAGCTGAAAGTACCAAATTGGAAAACATTCTTCAAAATATTGTATACTTATCAGGCTTCTTTAGAATGAATAGCCAATGGACATTAAGTTATGCATTATAGTTCAAGAATAAAATTACAATCATACCAAGAGTTTAAGGCACTCATCTATTTGTTTTGAATTAATATTAGGGATGTAAATCGTGCACTCTAGAGTAAACCCATTATGGAAATTTTAGATAAGTAGGATTAATGTTAGTTTAACAAATGTTTTCATCATGAAGTACTTTAAATTTGTAAAGGTATTAGAACATGGAACTGTACAGCACAGCAACGGCCTCTTCAGCCCACGATGTTGTGCCAAACATGACAGCAAATTAAATTCATTCCTTCTGCCTGCCCTTGGTCCATATCCCTCCATTCCTTGCATATTCATGTGCTTATCTAAAAGTCTCTTAAATGCCCCATCGTATCTGCCTCTACCACCACCCCTGGTGACACGTTCCCGTCTCCTACTACTCTATGTCCCTCACATCTCCTTTGAACTCCCCCCCCCCCACCTTAAATGCATGCCCCCTAGTGTTAGGCATTTTAATGCTGGGAAAAAGATTCTGACTGTCAACCCTATCTATGCATCTTGTAATTTTATAAACTTCAATCAAGTCTGCCCTTAGCCTCTGCCACTCCAGAAAAACAACCAAGTTTTTCAAGCCTCTCCATATAGTTGATACCCTCTAATCCACGCAGCATCCTGGTAAACCTCATCTGCACCCTTTCCAAAATCTCCACATCCTTCCTGAAATGTGGCAACCATAATTAAACACAATACTCAAGTGTAGCCTAACCAAAGTCTTATAAAGCTGCAAAATGATATACTGACTCTTGTACTCAGTTCTCTGACCAATAAAGTCAAGCGTGCCATATGCCTTCTCTACCACCCTATCTACTTGCATGGATACTTTCAAGGAGCTATAGACTTGAATCCCAAGATCCCTCTCACAGAGTCCTGCCATTAACTGTATATTTTCCCTTAACATTTGATCTCCCAAAGTGCAGCACCTCACACTTACCCAGATTAAACTCCATCTGCCTTTCCTCTGCCCATATTGGCAATTGACCTGTATCCTGCTACATCCTTTAACAACCTTCCACACTATCTGCAACTCTACCGATCTTTGTATCGTCTGCAAACTTACTCCCATCTACATTTTCGTCCAAGTCATTTATATATATCACAAACAGCAGAGGTCCAAGTACACATCCCTGCAGAACACCACTAGTCAAGGACCTCCAGCCTGAAAAACAGCCTTCCACTACTACCCTCTGCCTTCTATGGCCGTACCAATTCTGAATCCATGCAGCCAAGTCAACATGGATCCCGTGCATCCTAATCTGGATGAGCCTACCATGAGGGTCCTTGTCAAAAGCCTTACTAAAATCCACATAGACAACATCCACTGCTCTACCTTCATCAATGACCTTTGTTACCTCCTCGAAAAATTCAAACAAGTTAGTAAGACATGACCTACTGAAATAACTGCACAGAGGCTGGTGTCCCATCACCAAGTCACCCTTTATTTACTGGGGGATAGTACACTGGCTGTAGCCAGGCAGCTCAGAATCAGTCCCCAACTGAGGAGATTCTAATCTCCTGGTTACTTTGGTCAGTCAAAGCTTTCCAGGCTGGGGTTGTTAACCTGGGCCAATCAAGATCCTAGTGGTTAATGAGGTCCACCTGGTTCCAATCACTACACCTGCCCCACACAAAACCATGCTGACTATCCCTGATTAGGCCATCCTTTTCCAATGCGTGTAAATCCTTTCGCTAAGAATTCTCTCCCATGGCTTCCCAACCACTGATGTGAGACTCACCGGTGTACAGTTTCCTGGATTATCCCATTTCCCTTCTTGGACAGAGGAACAACATTGGCTACTCGCCAATCCTCCAGGACTTCTCCAGTGGCTAATGAGGATACAAAGACGTTGGTCAAGGCCCCAGCAATCTCCTCTTTTGCCTCTCTCAATAACCTGGAGTAGATACTATCAGGCCCTGGGGAATTATCCACTTTAATGCTCTTCAAGAGACCCCAAATCATTTCTTTCTTGATCTCAAAATGCCATAGCATATTACCATGCTCCACACAAATCTCACTATCCTCCTGTTGCGTGAATACTGACGCAAAGTACACATTTGGGATCTCACCCACATCCTCTGCCTCCAAGCACAAGTTCCCTTCTTTATCCTTGAGTATTGATTTATATTTTCTTCTTTGTTTCCATTTTTGACTGTTAATATTTGGGCAAATTCAGTCATCTTCAGATTTTAAAATATTGTATAATCTTTTCAAAGACTACTTGTATTTGAAGAGATGGATCATCATGTTGTTATTTTTGCTCGACTATGGAACACCAATTCTTCAGAATAAATTTTATAGCACAGAAAACGTACGAATTATTGTGAAGAGTGAATGCAAAAATAAGCATCATACATGAGAAAATAATATTTTTCCAATGTTTTATATAGATAAAAACATTTAGATGAAAACTCTTGAGCTGGAAACCCGGTTTGCGATGAGGTTTCTTTACATTCATTGCTCCATTTATAACCAAAGGAGGATGTAGAATGGGCAAAACAGAACGAGGTTATTTGGCCTGACTTTCTATGCTATCTTTGCATGTTCCTGACCTCTGACATCTTTCCATAGCTCTATTTTTGTTTTTCATCAGATAATTATCCAATTTCTTATTGAAAACCATGATTGTCCACCATACTTTCAGAAAGTACATTCCAGATACTAACCACTTGCTGCGTCAAAAGGTTTCTCCATAAGTCACCTTCAGTTCTTTTAATATTCAGTTCAAATGA